CAGGCCCAACAAAGAAAATAACAGAACGCCACTAGCCGTCACCTTCAGCCCCTAACTAAAACCCCTCCAACACATTATCAAGGATCTACAACCTATCCTGAAGGACGACCCAACACTCTCACAAATCTTGGGAGACAGGCCAGTCCTTGCTTACAGACAGCCCCCCAACCTGAAGCAAATACTCACCAGCAACCATACACCACACAACAAAACCACTAACCCAGGAACCTATCCTTGCAACAAAGCCCGTTGCCAACTGTGCCCACATATCTATTCAGGGGACACCATCATAGGGCCTAATCACACCAGCCACTCTATCAGAGGCTTGTTCACCTGCGCATCTACCAATGTGATATTTGCCAGCAATGCCCCTCTCCCATGTACATTGGCCAAACCAGACAGTCTCTAAGTAAAAGAATAAATGGACACAAATCAGACGTCAAGAATTATAACATTCAAAAACCAGTCGGAGAACACTTCAATCTCTCTGGTCACGCAATTTCTGTTCTCAAAGTGACTATCCTTCAACAAAAAACTTCAAAAACCGACTCCAACGAGAGACTGCTGAATTGGAATTAATTTGCAAATTGGATACAATTAACTTAGGCTTGAATAGAGACTGGGAATGGTTGATTCATTATAAAAAGTAACCTATTTCCCCTTGTTTATTCCTCCCCCCCACTGTTCCTCAGACTTTCTTGTTAAACCCTGGATTTGTGCTGGAAATGGCCCACCTTGATTATCATACACATTGTAAGGAGAGTGATCACTTTAGATAAGCTATTACCAGCAGGAGAGTGCAGTGGGGGGAGAGAAAACCTTTTGTAGTGATAAACACCTATTTTTTCATGGTCTGTGTATATAAAAACCATCTTCTGTATTTTCCACAGTATGCATCCGATGAAGTGAGCTGTAGCTCATGAAAGCTTATGCTCAAATAAATTTGGTTAGTCTCTAAGGTGTCACAAGTACTCCTATTAATTGGAGGGTTTCCCCTATTTTTTGTCATCAGCAAAAATGACTAATCAAAAATCCTCCAGCCACTGTGCTTATTCCCCCAATTCCAAACTACCCTTCCCACATGCCTTCCCGGCTCCTAACAGTACCCCACCCAGACACTGAAACCTCCAACCTCACCCCTGCCAACGTCTACCTGAGCCAAAAATAAGCTGCACACTGAAAATGGAAGGACATTGTACCTAGTTAATATTTAAACCTGACACAGAAGGACCCAGTAGTGATTTCATTTTCTTATTGAATTCAATCAAACCTGAAAGTTTAAATTGATCTGCACCTGGCACAGAATTCCACAAGTGCTGCAGAAACTAGGTGCCGGTGAGTTCACAGGGTCTGGTGTGTTCCATTACCCAAAGTAGAAACCACCCACACTAACTACATGGCCTTCACTTGTGACATTGTTAAGTTGCCTGTAATCAGGCAACTTAACAATGGGCTCTTTACCCATGTTAAGTTCTACTTGCTTACTCAGTTGACCAGCTGGAGTTACTCGGCTTCAAAAAGAGGCAGCAGAAAGGAAGTCGCCATTCTAAGGGAGGCTTGGGTGGAGGTTTTCTTGCAGGAAGACACTGCTGCTGACTTGCTCAGTTGCTTCTGGGTTACTGAATGGAGAAGGGCTGCTGCTTGTGGTTCCTGAATACCACATCAGAAGCGAAGCAGGAAGAGCTTGCCACTGACTTACCACACAGCCCCGGACACTTCACTAAACCTGCCTGCTTCAGTTAGCCCAACTTGTAAAATGGGGCTAATGCTGCCCTACCCGTAGAGCACAGGGGCGTTGGCAAATTGGTCAGCACAGAGATATACAGTAAAACCACAGAATTACGAACTCCAGAGTTACAAACTGACTGGTCAACCACCCACCCCATTTGGAACCGGAAGTATGCAATCAGGTGTGGCAGAGAAAAAAAAACAACCCGCAAATACAATACAGAGATGTGTTAAACGTAAACTACTAAAAAATAGAGGGAAAGTTTAAAAAAAGATTTGACAAAGTAAGGAAACGGTTACTGTGCTTGTTTCATTTAAATTAAGATGGTTAAAAGCAGCATTTTTCTTCTACACAGTAAAGTTTCAAAGCTGTATTAAGTCAATGTTCAGTTGTAAACTTTTGAAAGAACCACCAGAACATTTTGTTCAGAGTTACAAACAATCTCCATTCCTAAGGCGTTTGTAACTCTGAGGTTCTACTGTATAGTCAGCACAGAATTAGTGATCCAGAAGCAGAAAGTGAAGTTAACTAAAAACTGACTAGTTTAGTTTCCCTCGCCAAGAGGAAAGAAATATAAGATGTGAACATACTGGATAAAATTTTCAAAAGTCACCTAGCAGCCCAAGTCCCATTGACATTTAATAGGAGTTGAGATCTCAGGAAGTCCTTTAGTGGGTAAAACTCTTTCAAAAGTGCCCATCAAATACAGGAACTCCTCACTTAAAGTCGTTCTGATTAACGTTTCGTTGCTGATCAATTAGGGAACATGCTTGTTTAAAGTTGTGCAATGCTCCCTTCTAACGTTGTTTGGCAGCCGCCTGCTTTGTCCACTGCTTGCAGGAAGAGCAGCCGGTTGGAACTAGCTGGTGGGTGGTTGGAACCAGGGTGGACCAGGAGCCCCCCATCAGCTCCCCGCTCTCCTAAGTTCCCTGTGCGGCAGCTGCTCAGCAGGCTATCAGTTGCCAGCAGTTCAGCTGTCCCTTCCCGCACTGCCATGTGCTGCTCCTGCTCTCTGCCTTGGAGCTGCTCCCCAAGACTCCTGCCTTAGGCAGGAGCTGCAGTCTGGTCTCAGCTTGCTGATCTAATTAACAAACCAGTGTACTTCTGACCCCACTCTTCATACTTAAAGGGGCAATGAGCATCTCTCTCTCTCAAATACACACAGGGTGTGTCTCTCTGTCTGCCCTCCCTCCTTTCCGGCTGCCTTGTAGAGTGTGAGAATTAACCCTTGAGGGCTCAGCCAATTGCTAGTTCATCATTTAGCAGTAAGGCATTCCCTGGGAAATATCCCACCCTCTGACTCCTCCTCAACCAAGCTTCACAATCATCACCACTGTGTACCAGTATTAAATTGTTTGTTTAAAACTGGTGAAAAAAATTTCCCTGGAACCTAACCCCCTCATTTACATTAAGTCTTACGGGGAAATTGGATTCGCTTAACATCGTTCGTGTCAAGTCGCATTTTCAGGAACATAACTACAACGTTAAGTGAGGGATTCCTGTAGCAAGCAGTAAGATCGTAATTTGTAATATCTGACTTGATTGTCAGATGTAGCAAGCACTGAACCCTCCCTCTGCCCCAAACTGCCGTGGGAGCGAAGCTCTGATAACGTAAGGTGGAAGTCCGCGAGGTGAGGAATGTCTTTGAAAAGTGATTTTATTTTTTCCTTTTATAATTCCCCCTTTTAATCTGGTTCCATGTGTCCACGGCCTCCTGCAACTGTAGCATTTTCCACAGGGGTACAAGGGAAGAGTTATTTTTTCCCCTTAATAATGAGCATGCAAGGTAGCCATACTTTATCATCCTTGTTCAAGCTGCAGGAAGCTAAACCTGTTGCACTCTGATAACATTGTAAGAAACCCTTTTAGTATGTGAACTGATTGTTTCAGCACCCCAGGCCCTTACCTCAAACAAACCAGAGATTGTACCTCTTATGCAGCCCCAGACCAGCATTCTCAAAACACCCTTTTATTTTTTTTTTTTTTTAAAAGCTTGAGTCTCCAAAGAGCAAACAAACTTTTCCTCCTGCTTCCACTCCAGGCAATGTTGTAAACCTAAACAAATTCTTAAGAACAGCATGATTCATGCAGAGCTAACGGCACAGCGAGCCAAATGTACTTCAGAATTTATTTTCCTTGATGGACCAGGGATAAGCCACCAGTTAGAGTTACTGCATTCATCCTTTTTATTGAAGTCAGTGGTGGGTGGGTTTATTGCTGGGGTGGGTGGGTTCACTCCCTGCAATATCAGCAGGAAGATGGGGCTGAAAATGGCAGACAAGAATGCACAGGTGATGGAACTAGGGGTGCTCCTGCACCCCCTGGCTTTTAGTGGTTTCCATCAGACACAGGGTTTACAGTTTGGTTCAATGGTTCTCAGCACCCCCACAAGAACTCAACCATTAAGAAGAATGAAGAGGATGGGGGTGGGAATTGCATCTCCATGATAGAACCAGCATATAAGAGGCACAAAGTTGAAATAGTTCCATGTGCCACAGACTCCTGCACCTGTGTAGAGGATGAATAACCACGCTATGCTAGAGCAATTAGAGATGCATAAGCAGGAGGAAAGAGGGAAACAGCAGAGCTGGGATTAGCCACTTCAAAAGGGTTCACTCACATTACCCAGTGTTACCCACCTACCACCCTCCTGGGACTTGGGCAGCACAGTGCCACCCTGAATCAAAGATCAGGGAGGCATCCTCCTTTGTAAGCAATGCACCTGTCACTAGCTATCTTGATACCCCAGATCCCAACTGGGTGCAACAGGAAGTACAAAGGGAACGTTAGCTACCTAGGCATAATATTTTATAGCACTTTCCCACCAAGGATTTCAAATATGCTTTGTGAACATTACGGAGTTAAACCTCCATCCCGGAGAGAACTGTATCATCCCAAAGGCCCAGAAGGGGGACCTGCCTTGACTGAGCTCACATAGTGGATCTGTGGCAGAAGCAAGAATAGAACCCAGGGCTCCTGACTCCCAGTCCTGTGCTTTAGCCACAAGACCAGCCTTCCCCCTGCAGGAGACGCCGACAGATATTTATACCCCCTTAGAAGTATTTTTTCCTATCACAGCATGGCTAGAAAATAGGTTTGGAAAGTGCGTCTAATTTGGGATCACAGCTCCATTTACACTGTAGAGCAATGTCACAACAGCATGGCTTTTTAGATTGTATCTTGGGGCAGCTTGGTTAAAGAGCTACAGTGGCCTCTGAAGTGTGACTGTAGGGAGCAATTCAGCATAGTCCATAATCCTGGTTCTACTGACCTGGGTTTCTGAGAAGGTTCTTTGGTGTCCTTGGATCCAAACCAGCTGCTGCTCTTACTCTTCTCGTCTCCAGCAGCTGTTACTTGCGGAGATATGGTCAGGGATGATCCCAGCTTCTCCCCCAAGCTCTTGTTCCCTGCATCACCTTTAGTGCCCCCATGGTGGAAGAGGCCAACCTTGGACTTCTTGTCTTCCTTTCTGGTTTCCTCATGGGATTTGTCTTTTGTCACCTCCATGGAGAAGACCATCGGCGTTGCGATCTGCACAGGTTTGGTCTCTAAGCGGCTGCCTTCTTCCAACTTGGCTCTACCTAGATGATTGCTGAGGGTTACAGCTTTGGTTGAGACCTTGTTCTCCTCTTGTACTGCTAAGCTGGGAGGAGAGGGAAGGAATCTGGGCTCTTCTTTCTGCTGCCTGACTCCCCATGGCAGGTCTTCAGAGTCAGGAGGAGGGAAGCCAGCGTGGAAACCCTCCTCAGACTTTCTGGTGATATTCTGTAGAGGCAGGGACAGCGGCAAGGAGCTCGGTAGGTCAGACATTGGGCTCTTTGGTGCAGGTTCATCACTGTAAACATGGCTTCCATTGACACAGAGAGAGGATCTGGAGACAGGGTCATCCTTTGGCTTTGGACTTTGGATTGCTTTCGGCTCAGCTACCACGTTAACCTGGGAGATCTCATCACTGAATGCTCTCTTGTGGGCTAATTTTGGAGAAGGTAGATAGTCTTTAACTAGAAGGAGGAAAAAGCAGCATCAAATGAGAACATCTGCCTTGACCCCACATATTTCACACAGCAACATTGCCTTCTACCACCTGCCAATGCTGAAGATATCAGTGAAACTGCTCCAACTCCCACCCTCACAACCCCAGCTGTGGCTTCTCCCAATCATATAATGTAATTATAATAAATCCTGAGACAAGAGCATGAGCACATTGCTATAGAAGTCTCACCAAGAGTAGCAATATGATTTCACTGAAGGATCAAGGGAGGAGGAAAGGAGGATAAAACCTTCCTTTAAAATAAATCTGAAAGTTAGTAATAGAGGCAAGAAACTATCTGAAAAGATCTTAGCAGTATGTGGATTTGTGCGGAAGCATCGCTTAAAATTTTACATGGGGAAGGACTGCTCCTCTAAGATTCACTACAACGACTATGCTAACACACTGCTTTGTGAAGAACTGTCAATTTAGTTGAGGATATTATGGCGGATGGGAAAATGTGACTTAAGATTTCCCTGCATTTAGTCCCATTTCCAGGTCATACAGTCATACATGCAATAACTTTTTGCAATTCGTTGTAGAGTCCAACCTGGAGAATTGCCTGACATTAAATGGTACACATCAGATTCGACCTTCCCACGCAATATGGTTTTTCCCGCGGATGCATATAATTGTGCGAGAGCAGTTATGTGCATTCTCACTCCAGCACAACCCAGGGCATCAAACTTAAGGGAGCAGACAGCATTGTGTGGCTAAGAAGCTGGTTTTTAATGCATTAATACTAGGGCTGTTGATTAATCAGCTAACTCATGCGATTAACTCAAAAAACTTAACTGCAATTAAAAAAAACAAATTGCGATTAACTGCAGTTTTAATCGCACTGTTAAACAATAGACTACCAATTGAAATGTATTACGTTTTGGATGCTTTTCTACATTTTCATATATATTGTATTCTGCGTTGTAATTGAAATTAAAGTGGATATCATTTTTGATTATAAATATTTGCACTGTAAAAATGATAAACAAAAGAAATAGTATTTTTCAGTTCACCTCATATAAGTACTGTAGCGCAATCTCTTTGTCCTGAAAGTGCAACTTACAAATGTAGATTTTTTTTTTGTTACATAAACTGCACTCAAAAACAAGACAATGTAAAACTTCAGAACCTACAAGTGCACTCAGTCCTACTTCTTGTTCAGCCAATTGCTAAGACAAACAAGTCTGTTTACATTTATAGGAGGTAATGCTGCCCTCTTCTTATTTACAGTGTCACCAGAAAGTGAGAACAGGCATGTAAATGTCTTGCAACACCAGCTACAACAGTACCATGAGAACGCCTGTTCTCATTTTCAGGTGACATTTTAAACAAGAAGTGGGCAGCATTAGTTCCTGCAAATGTAAACAAACTTGTTTGTCTGAGCGATTGGCTGAACAAGAAGTAGGACTGAGTGGACTTGCAGGCTCTAAAATTTTACATCCTTTTATTTTTGAATGCAATTATTTTTGTTCATAATTCTACATTTGTAAGTTCAACTTTCATGATAAAGAGATTGCACTTCAGTAATGGTACAAGGTTAACTGAAAAATACGATTTCTTTTGTTTTTTTACAATGCAAATACTTGTAATCAAAAATAAATATAAAGTGAGCACTGTCCACTTTGTATTCTGTGTTGTAATTGAAATCAATATATTTGAAAATGTAGAAAACATCCCAAAATATTTAAATAAATGGTATTCTATTATTGTTTAGCAGCGCAATTAATCACGATTAATTTTTTTTAATTGCTTGACAGCCCTAATTAATACTTATTGTTACCAAGGACCCGCTTCTTGATCTAATAAGAGAATTTCTGAATGTACTGTCTCAGGCCAATCAAATCGTTTGTGGATTAATTATAGATTTCTTTCAGCAAACAATAAAAGCTAATGCACCGAGATGGCATCCCTGTTCTGTGCATTGCCTTCAGAGTGCTGAGACTGACAGAACTCAGATTGCTTTAGTCACTGGAGTCCAGCCACTGTCTGAACAGACACTTTTCATCCAAGCCTGAAAAGTTCCCTGAGACAGGAGATGCAGCAGGGAAGCTCGGTAAATTAATGCTCCATTCTGCTTGACCACTGTGCATTCAGGGCTCACTGCTGGGAAGACACTGGATGCTTGGAACCTACTTTCGAGAGGTAGAGCAGAATTCTCCGTCTGTGGTGTATGATGATCATCATCATCGGATATTTTTAAGAGCAGGTGAGTCAATCACCTGTCAGGGACGGTCAAGATAATACTTAGTCCTGCCCTGAATGCAGAGGACTGGACTAGATGACCTCTCAAGGTCCCTTCCAGTCCTACAATTCGAAGAACAGAAAAAATGGATCCACAGTGAATCTTTAACATATGGATGGGCAGAGCTTTTGGGGACAGCATAGAATATGCTGGCATCCATACGTTAGGACTCACCATTTCTCCCACCTCTGCTCCAAGCAGATTAACAGAGGGAGCCATTTTCTCTTTCAAATGGCATTCACTAGACCCCAAAGAGAGAGTTCAACACCCGCTGAAGGATGCTGCTCTTCCAGCTGAGGTTTAGGGACTACACTCTTTCAGAACCATTTTCCTGAGCTGAAGACAGCTTGGTCTTCAGCTGCACTCTGAACCCTGGGGAGTTGGCAGGGCACCACGGGGGAATTTTGCCTTGCTACAGACTGCTGTACCAGTTCTGTGCATAAACAGAGGGTGTCAATCTCCAGGTCTGTCAATCTGGCATTAGAACAGCCCTACCCACCATTCATTACTGGGGCAGTATCTCTGGCACCTTCATGCCAGTACCCCAGCCCCAGCCACTCAAGCGTATAGTGAGCCTCACAGAGGAAAGTAACTTATAAAGGACACTTCCTTCCAGTGAGCAATCAGTTAATGTACCCAAAGTACCCTAGGCAGCCCCTTATTTAGTGATTAAAATCAGTATCCTCTTACCAGAGCGCTCTGTGGACAGACTGCTGTGTCTGCTCGGGGATTTGGTTACCTCGGGAACATTGATGGTTATGCCAAAGTTGTTAGCCAGGCTACCGCTGGCTGAGGAGATGGTGCTGTCGGAGCCCAGCGAGGTGTTGGACTGGGTCAGGGAGGACTTGCGGAGCTTGTTCTTGAAGAAACCGCCCTTCCCTTTGGATTTCTTGCCCCCTAGCTCGTAGTCCTCCTCCATGTCGAGGGCCCCCGTGCTGCTGGGGATGATAGCAGAGGCAGATTCCAAGTCGTATTTCTTCTTCCCCTTCATTTTGTCCTTCAGCTTGCCGAAGGGCGACCGGGGCTTGTCCTTCATGGAAAGATCGAACATGCTGGCCGTCAGGTTGTTGCGGGTAAACTGGATGGTGACCTGGATCGCTCCTCGCTCCTTCTCCTTCTTCCCGGCCTTGGAATGTAGCTTGTGCCACCTGGAGTTTGAGAGAAAAGGGGAGAAGAGCCTGTTATTTCCAAGACCAATGACTGAGCCAGAAGGTGCTCAGAGGGAAAGGCCTAAGACAAGAGACAGCAGAAAACAGAACCGATCAGGTCTGCGCAGCAGCTCGGGGAATTAGCTGACATACTGCACAGGGGAGAGCACCTGGTCACTAAGACAGTGCAAACAGGCTGCTTTTCAAATCATTAGATTTGCTGCTTCTTGAGTTCCCACTCAGCTGTGATCCCTTCTCACAAGCCAGGGAGCCCTGGTGCATGGAGGCTTAGCTGCCATCAGGTTTGTTACATCCCTCAGAGCGGTCACTGGGGCTCTCCTTGGGGCCGGTGTGGTCCAAGTTCACTCCTAGGACACAACCTGCACCTCCCGTGTCTAAGGAACTTGGGGCACTCGACAAGCTAGTGAATTAACTCTTTCCACCCTCCTTGCGAGGTGAGGCAAGTTTTATGATCCCCATCCCAAAACTGGAGACGCAGAGACCCAGAGAGGAAAAGTGACTTCCCCAAGGTCACACGGCAACTCTCCGGCAGAGATGAGAACAGAAGACAGGTCTCCTGACCCCCAAGTCCTGGGCCTTCTCTCCACAAAGGCCTGAGGTCCCATCCCACAGCCAGAGGATGGAGCCCTGTTGAAACAGCTTAGGTGATCTGGTGAGAGGAAGCCAAGCTCTCTGGACAACTGGCTTGTGGTACCTCCTTCCACCCATGCTTTAGCTCCCTCCTCCTGCTTTAGGAATCTCCTCCCCCACACTTCCCAGCTGCTGCTACCCTACTCAGTGTCAACTTCACCACCCCAGCCTAATAAAGTGAAAGGCCTAATTTTTAAGGACCATGTTTTACTGCGAAGTGCCTAGGATTCTTTTCATGCCTACTTGCTGTATGAACAGTGTGCTGTTAGCCTATTCCTGCTTTGCTCGCTGTCTGGCTCGCTAAGTGTTCTACTGAACCACCGACATTACGCATGAAGGTCAGAAGTTCCTTGTTTATATGGAGACCTCCAAGGCCCAGGCTCCCAGACAGGACACCTGACAGCTTTGATCTGATTAGGGCAGCAAGCCAGAACACAGTAGGTACAAGCGCAGCAAGGACTTCCTCCAGACGCTAATGGAGGCTAAGTGTGGACAAGGGGCTCTACATAGGATGTTGTGGGATTCCACATGCGACTCAGTTATGCTACATAAGGCTGATAGACAAGAAACTCGCTGCAGGTCTCCCACCTCAACCAGGGCTCGGTCACCACCAGGGACAAAGATGCTGCAAACAGAACGTAACAAGCTTTCCGACGATGTCTGAGCCAGCCCAGAATCCGGCTCTCCCCACTATGGGACAGTGTAACCCCCAGAGCTCATGTGGGATCAGTGGGTTGATGAGATTCATATACACACACACACCACTCAGGGCATGAAGGTGCCATTTGTAAACAGACCTTTTACCGATGCATGCCATATTTTACGGCGTATCCCTACATTCAGTTTTCACCCTATTTCCACTAAGTAACTTGTCCACATTAAGACAAATTACCCTCCATAGTAATACTATATGTGCGTTCCAGAGGAAGGCCCTCACTGGTCACGTTTTAAAAATGACTGGTCTATGAACAGACATAAGGTTGATGAGGTAATCTCTTTTATTGGACCAACTTCTATTGGTGAGAGAGAACAGAAAAGAAAAGAGATTACCTCACCCAGCTTGTGTCTCTAATATCCTGGGACCAACATGGCTACATCTACACTGCACAGTCAATTAATACCTTCTTAAAGAAGATTCTGGTCAAAAGGAGACGACCTTGGAAATTCAAAATTAAGGCTCGACCTGAAGAGCGGATGCCCCCCCTGCCCAAACCGTGACTGACTAGCTCTCCCAACCCGCCTGCCCTGTGCCTGAATTTGATTTTGCCATAAGGAGCGTCTGTTAGGAAGGGAGAAGAAAACCATTGCGGTATGGGAGAGGCAGAATAGCTGAGTGGTCCCAGCACACATCTGGAAGCCAAGAGTTTCTTTATTCCAATCCTGGATCCACTGCACACACCCCGCCCCCTCGGGAGAGGATGAGGGAACAAACAGGTGACAGATGTGAAGTGCACGTACCACACTACTGGACGGTGCTCAGAGACTACGGAACCTACATACAAGGGGAACGTTAATCCCAGTCTCCTGGGGAAACTCTATGGCAGTATCCATTAGGCCGCAAGTTCCTTGAGGCAGGGACCGGTCTGTGTGTGGTTGCTCAGTATCTAGTTCAACAGAACCCAGACCGAAACAACAGACCGCTACTGCCCCAGCCACTGTCTTCATTTCCCATCCGAAACTGTTGCGGAGGGTTTCTGGGCAGCGTCACAGATGGCTGAATTTCAACTGTATTTGAAATGATTCCTGTGCAGTTTGTAAAGCTTTCTGGATCCCAGGGGATGAAAGATGCCATGGCGTCCTTGAGGCCACTACCCCATATCTCCTTCAAATGCCTCCCCAATATCCACATCAGCCGTGGCGCCTGCCAGAAGTCAGCCAGCCTGCCAGGGATAGTGGGAGAAACTGGTGTTGCTAGGGTTAAACCCTCAGAACTCCAAGCCATCCGACTGCCAGCCTGATCATATTACCCAAGCCATCCGACTGCCAGCCTGATCATATTACCCGCACCCTCCCTCCTACCGGCTGCCCCTCAGTCCTGTCTGGTTTCAGAATCAGAGGAGAATGTCTTTTGGGCAGGCCCTTGTCTGTGTGTCTGCCATGCGGCCATGACCCCAAGCAGCGTATCCGAGTGCTACCATAATACAAAATAATTAATAGAAACTTGGCATCTCTGTCAAGTGACTGGCTAGCTTCAGACCTGTCGTGGAACATTATTCCAGGTCACAAAGCCAACATGGCACCGTCTGCACTGGGACAGCACTTTCACCCCGGGGAGAGGGGGAACGCTCCTTCAGTCCAGCCCAGCTTTGGCCTTGACGTCCTGAGCACTGCCAACTCTCGCTGATTTCAACGGGAGCAGCTCAGGATCAGGCCTCCTCTGCCCTTGGCATCCAAACAAGGAAACCTACAGACTTGTGGTTGGTGCCTTACTGGATGTACGCCACCAAGAACAACAGCTCTGCAATACTGCTTAGGAAAAGCATCCCAGCAAGCAGGAGGAAGGTGCTGTGAACACACCTACTTCCCTCCAAGCCATCCTGCAGCTTAAGTGTCTCCATGCCAGCTCCCATGCAGGGTTTATGCTGTCTAATTTCCTCCAGGGGCACTTCAGGAGCATAAGACAAGAAAACACCACCCTGTGTGCTCAGATACGTTGCTTTTTTCTAGCCACAGCACCTCCTGTTGGTCAGATTACAGGGAACTTACTAGCCCAGTATTATCTACAGTCATGCAGCACGCACAACCAAAGTATCCAGGAGCACATCCTGCAAATCAAATAAGATCCCACGCTGTCCAATAAGTCACAGGCACCAACCCCTCCCCACAACACAGTGCCCCATCAGTTTGAGTTTCACAATCAGGTGCACACATCTCTGGGGGTTCAGCTTTCCTGTGAAAACAGGACAATAAGCAGCCATTTATTGCTATTTTTATACAAAAAAACCTGGTAAGTCTTTCAAACTTAAAATACAAGCAGTGCCCCCCTCCGCTGTTTCTGCAGGGTGTATACCACACAGTGCCATCAGCCATGACGGGACAATCTGTGACGTCAGGGTTACGACAACTCTGGTCCCAGCATAACCGTCTAAAGGAAGCTGCCAGTGAAACGTATGCTGGAGGACGTGAGCGGTTAATGTGAGCGTAGAGCTTTACTACAACTGCTCGGAGCAGAGATCATGGTATCCGGTCTGTGTTTTGCTTAAGGCTGGGTGATGTTACTCAAAGCCGTATGAATCATAGAAGATCAGGGTTGGAAGAAACCTCAGGAGGTCATCTAGTCCAACCCCCTGCTCAAAGCAGGACCAATCCCCAACTAAATCATCCCTGCCAGGGCTTTGTCAAGCCTGACCTTAAAAACCTCAAAGGAAGGAGATTCCACCACCTCCCTAGGTAATGCGTTCCTAGTAGTGCTTCACCACCCTCCTAGTGAAAAAGTTTTTCCTAATATCCAACCTAAACCTCCCCCACTGCAACTTGAGATCATTACTCCTTGTTCTGTCAAAACAGAAGGAATGCATCTCTCTCCACAGCTTCTGATCACAGAAATGTAGGATGAGAAGGGACCTCAAAAGACCATCTAGTCCAGCCCCCTGCACTGAGTAAGTAAGTTAGACCCTCCTTTGTCCAACCTGTTCCTAAAAACCTCCTATGATGGGGACTCCAAAACCTCCCTGGGTAACTTGTTCCAAGTGCTTAATTATCCCTATAGCTAGAAGTTTTCCCCAGTATGTAACCCAGATTTCCCTTGCTGCCAATCAAGCCCATTACTTCTTGCCCTGCCCTCAGTGGCCATGGAGAACAACTGATCACAGTTCTCTTTAGAACAAGCTTTCACACAGTTGAAGACCGATGGCAGCAACTGCGGCTTGCCCACAGCCTTCGGCATCTTGGGCAAAGTGAAGGAGACCCGCATTTGAAAAACACACACATCTGTACGTCTGCCAGTGCTGCGAGGGTGAATGTGATCCAAGTGGACCAGCACTTGAATGAGACCCAGCTGAAAGATGCTGCAGAACTGCTGCTAATCAGTTAGGCTGCGATCTTCTCTCTATCTTGGCATTTGACCAATGCCTATAGCTGGTGGCCCCGTCTTTCAGAGGAAATCCAGAGAGGTGCCGATGACCAGTTAAGTGGTGCAATGATATCTTTAAAGAGGTGATGGTCAACAAATTGCTGGTCAAACGCCGAACTCCGTTCAGTCCCTCAGTCTCTCTTGCAGTTGCGGTTGGATGGAGCATTCTTCACATCTTGCATGGCTGCTGTTAGACCGCTGCCATGTTCCACCCAAGAGGTGGCTGAGTTTCAGTGGTGGTGGCAGTTAATCCCCTACCTAGCTCACAGGGGTGTTA